GGGTGAGGGCAAGGGGAGGGCCTGGCTTGGAGTTGCATCTGTGCCATGTGCAACCAAGGTCCTGGCGAGGGCGGATGAGAAAGTCTGCAACCAAAAGAAGGGACACTCTAACTCAGACTACTGGCGATGAAGATAAAAAGTCTAGTATTTTTTTCTTCTCATCCTATTCAAGCAGTAGTCAAAATGAACTTCACTGAGGTTTATGAGTGACAAATAACACGCCTCTATTGTAAGTGTCACACAGCGCGGTGTGGCAAATGTACTGACCCAGGTAATCCTCTCATCAGTCCGAATACGGGGCGATTCCTTCGCCCCACGGACTCACCCAGGACCCTCCTGCATCCACCCGAGGGAGCCACGTGTCTGCTTTTTGTCCCTGCGGATTAGTATTTCTGAAACTTCATATGAAATTCACACATGAAAATGTCGTTCTGAAACATGACCCTCTAGTGTGTCATCTTTGTGATTTCCTTGGCTTGGCACCATGTTCTTTGGATTCGGCTGAGCTGCAGAGACTATCAGCTGTGTACTCATTTTATTACTGACATTTGGATTGTTTCTTGTTTGGGATTAGCGTGACTATTTCCATTTAAGTCTGTGCCTAGACGTACAGCTTCTTCTCTGGGATAGATACCTCTTGCGATTGCCAGATCACTGAAGATGCTTATCTTCAAACGAAATTTTCAAGTGATAACAATTTCCCTTCCCTTTGGGAGTGAGAGTTTCAGTTTTTCCACATTGCTGTCAATTCTTACTATGTTAGTCTTTCAATTTTAGCTCTTTAAGTGGGTATGTATTGGCATTTCATTTTCATTTGCATTAGTCATTGAAGAAATGAGGTTAAATGCCATTTATTTTGTTTGCTGGACATTCATTCATATGTGCTTTTTTAGAGGAAGTTCTTTTGAAGTGTTTTGCCTGTTTTTCTTATTGCATTGTTTATTTTACAGAATTGTGTGTTTTTCAAATAGTTTGATACAGCCCCTGTGTCAGATAGGTATCATGAATATTTTCTTTCAGTATATGGCTTGAATTTGTATTTCCTTAATAGTCTTTCCTTAAGAATAGGAGGTTTTATTTTATTTTATTGCAATTATTGATTTATTCTCTTATGATCATTGCTTTGTATCTCCTCCCAATTGATCTTTGGCTAGCGCTAGGTTTTCTTCCAGATGAGTATTGCCAAACAGAAATATCATATGTCGTTTTAAATTTTCTGGTGGTCACACTGAAGAAGAAACAGTTCCACTTAGTTTAAAGCATGTATTTTATTTTTTTTTAAAAATGATCATTTTAACATGTAATCAATATAAAATTATTAATGATGTATTTCACATAGTTTTTCTTGATCCGGAGCCCCTGAAAGCCAGAGTATGTTTTTGACTGTGAACTTCAGTGTGGCCTAGACACAGTCCAAGTACCCAGTAGCCACGCGTGGCCAAAGACTGTCGTATTAAGTAGGGCAGGCTTAGAAGTTTTATGCTCCTTGTTTTTCCTTTGGGACTGTGATAATTTGTTGTGATTTTCATATACAGTATGCCAAATGGCTAGAAGTTCGTTCCCTCTGCCTTCCATTAGAAACAACCAGAAATACCGTTATTTCTCTTCCCATGGCCTTACATCGCAGCCCTCTCAATCACCAGTAAATCCTATGCGTGCGTCTATTTGTGGACCTAATATATCCTTTCGTTTTCTTTCTTATGCCAGCACCATCCTGGCTTAATTGCTCTAGCATTATAGTAGGCCTTTTATCAGGTCGCATAAGCCTTCCAACTTTTTCTTTTTTGTGGTTATGTTTTTTCCTCTAGATTCTTCTCGTTTCCATGTAAAGTTTAGGATCAGCCTGGCAGTTTTCACAACAAAGCCGACATCATTGTACCTGCTCTAGCGCACTGAAAGACGGCCTTGCAAAGGAGAGCTAGCTGTGTCTTAATCCCTGAACCTGAGAATGTTTTTCTTTTATTTGATAGATAAAAAGTTAGAAAGTCTTTGCGGAAGAAGCTAATTTAAGGATAGTGAAATGAAAGCACCCAGTTATTCAGGTGGGTCCTGGCTACACTGACAGGCATCCTTACAGGACACACACACAGAATGAGAAGCCTTGGAAGTCAGGGACTCCTAAAGAGCCACCAAAAGCCAGAAGAGGCGAGGGAAGAGTCTGCTCTACAGCCACCAGAGGGCACACACGGCCTTTGCTGGTCCCGTGTCTTGCTTTCAGACTTGAAAGTCCTTTAAGGAGTATGAGAAACTCAATTTCTTATTTCAAACCACCAATTTGTGGTAATTTATTATGGCATTTATAGGAAACAAATACACCCATTAGCGGACCAAGAAAGTCCCATTCTACACCTAGTTTTTGTTTTCAAAAGTGAATGTTAGATTTTTTAGCAAATGTCTTTCCTACCTCAACTGAAAAACTATTTTCCTCTGCTATTTTTTAATCTATTCATGACCTGCACCAGTTGGCACCCAAGCTGGTGTGTATTTTAGCCCCATAATAGCTATTACCCTTATTAACAGCTGTCTTCAGTAGTGTAGGGTCTTGACAGATTTTATCAAATTGTATATATGTCAGAATCCTTCTTCTTGCTGTGTATTTGGTAAAGAAATTGTCAGAAGCCACTGACCAGTGTGTGGAACAAAATAATATGTCAGGAGATGGATGCTTACAGAATTTCTTCTGAGTGGTTCTTTGTATAACAGAGTCCCCACTGGTAACCCGAGGTCCAGTTTGACCTTGAGAGAGACTTCATTTGGCCCCTGTATTATTTCCAAGATGAGGAGATTTTTCATAAAAGCATTAGAAATCATGCTTCTTGAAAATTGTACAGGTTCCGCAACACTGCCGTGAATTCTAGTGGCAGCCTTCAACATGAGTGACATACACGTCTGTTCCTCACCAAGGCGTGTTCTCACCACTTGATCATAGAGCTGTTCCTCAGTGCTTTGGCTGTGTAGAGGTCGGTGGCTGTCTTGGGGTACATCTTTACACCAAGGCACATGTTGGTGAGGGAAGCTTAGGGGAAGGAAGGGTACGACAGCCACCAAAGCGGCATACTTGTGTTCAAAGTGAGCACTGCGGGAAGGGCCTAGACACAGGAGCAGGATTTCATATAATTCATTACCTGTGAGAGAGGCAGACTGTCCCCGGATGAAGAAGCACACACACGAAATGGAAATTAAGTGCCTAAGCCACCCAAAAGGAAGAAACCAGCAGGAAAATAAACAATAAATTAATAAATAAAAATCTGCTATAACCAAAGAAGAAAAACTGTGACTTCATAATATGAAATTTGAGAAGTGATGGCAAAGGTGTCAGTTAAAATGTCCCGAGAGCGGGTGTCTGTGCTAAGCCTCCTACCTACCCTGTAAGGCCCGTGGAGGGAGGGGATGGTGGGATGAGCCCCGAGGACCATCCCACTCACCCTGCATTTTGGAAAGGGGTGGGCGGCACCCCGAGAACTGTGAGGCGCCACTGTGGCTTCTTGCCAGGAGAGGAAACTGTGCCACTCTCTCGGAACCAAGCCATGGCAGCACAGGAACTGGGAGCCACAGGCAGCGGTGATTCCAGGGTGATGAGGCCCCTGGATTGCGCTGCACTCAGCCTTGGTGGGTCTCAGGCCCCCTTCCTCCACCTGCCTTGACCAGCAACCTTCAGTGCACAAGAAAGTAGACTTGACACTTAGAAAACAGGTGTGGAAGCCACGGAGCCAGAGATGCCACTGTGCAGCACTGCGAGGAAGCCACAGAACTGCCCCTAAGCGTGGGTCATGCAGACAGGGAAGAGCATGTTAATGACAGCAAGATCACGTCGCCTCCGGGTGAAGCAGTGGCTTTGGACTAGTCAGGTCTCTCCACAGAGCCTCTGGTGTCGGAAATCAGGACAGTTGTTTCTTGTCCTGTGAGATTTTGAAGAAAGCTGTGAGTTCAAAATACTTTACCCAGCTCAGTTTTTATGTATATATGGGCAGTGGGAAGCAACAGTTTTGTCTAACACGACTCTGATGTGCAAGCCCTGTGTAAGAAAATGGCTTGTCAAAGAAGGCAGTGTATCCGGTACAGATAGAAACAAAGGGCATGGGAATGGTTCCTCCTGGTGACTATCTCCTTCGTTTAAATACGGAATTAAGACGGAGCAGCCACAGAGAGATCGGATCAGGAATGTTCTGGTCTCTAATAAGACAACAGTAGCCGAGGCAGTGGCCATCCAGAGGTCGGGGAAGAGGTGGGTGGGACTGTAAGATGCTAATTGATCCCTCTCAGAGCCTGTGAGGTGTACAGGGGAAACTGCGTCCCTTGTGTGGTCGTGGTGTCCTGCCCCCGGCAGCGTTCCCAGCCTCCTGAGGGTCTCAGGACTAGTGGTGAAGAAACTCTCCGTTCCTGACACCAAGTAATACTCAGGCATCTGTAGGTGGAAGTGTACCCAGCACAAGCCCGAGGCGCTGCTGTCTGATCTGTCCCAGTCTCTGTCCGAGTATCTGTCCGGTGGCCGCGGCCGTCGCCCAGAGTACCTCTCACCCCGCCCCCCAGAACCCGGGTTGCCAGGCGCGTGGCCGATTCACCCTGCTGCTAGCGTGGAAGTGAGCTCGGGGATAGGCATCGCGGGGCACCCACGGGACAGCGTGCGCCCGGCGGGTCTCGGATCTCCGGTGCCATCCCCACACCTGGGCGCCCCACTGTGGCCACTTGGGGCTCCGCCAGCCTAGCGCCCCCTCCTCCTGGGACCCCAGCTGCGCCACGCCTGCGCGGCGGCCCAGCACTCTCCTCCCCTGCCCTGCGCTCCCCTGCCCTGCGCTCCCCTGCCCTGCGCTCCTGCCTGCCCCACCCACCCCACCGTGCCCCCTCCCCCCCTCCTCTCTCCCCTCCTCTCCGGTTGCTCCACTCCGACGCGGCTCCGCCTGTGCGCGGCGGCCCCTGAGCGCAGCGTCCTCTTGGCCGGCGGGCGGCAAAGCCCACGGCATCTGCCATTTGTCATTCAGCCCGCGGGACCGCCCCGAGCCTTAATTTAGGCGCGGCCGGGACGCCGGCCTCACTCTGGACTCTGGACGGAGGCGCAGCGCGGCGGGCTCGGTCTCGCCATGGCCACGGAGGGGACGCTGGGGCGGCCGCGCCGGAGCCGGGCAGGCGGGCGACGCAGACGGTAGGTGGTGGCGGTGGCGTCGGCACGCGGGGCCGCGGGGCTCCGGGACCGGTGGCGGAACCGGGCTGAGGCGCTGCCGCGGGAGGAGGAGAACCGTGCGGCTGCGCCACCTTGGGGAGCGCGCGTGGGGCGCGAGGTGGCACCGGGCCGGCGGGCGGCGAGGTGCGAAACGCCCCAGATGGTGACCGGCGCCCGGCGGTCCTGCCCCGCGGCGGAGGTGCGTGGGACCGCAGGTCGGCGAGCTGCAGACCGGTGTCTCCGGAGCTGGCCCAGAGGCCAAGAGGAAAGAGTCGGTTAGAAAGGGATCGCGGAGCTGAACGCAAGCGAATGCATCTGCATCCATTTTGGGAACTAAGACTGTGTGGATGCTTTCCTAGACGGACTGGATCTGCTGTCCGCTTGAACGCTTCAAGTGTGGACCCTGAAAAGGTCCTAGGTTAGGATAGTGCACGGGCAACTTCAGTGACTTCGTCGGCGCATCTAACTTTAAGGACTTCTTGTTTTATACTGAAAGCACGCTTGAAATTAAGTTTTTTTCCTAGTAAGTTACTTTTATGCTAAAGTAAATCATTAAAAATTAAAAATAAAAACAGCCAGTTTAGGTCCTCTTTCCAGGAAACCTTTTCTAACCCCTTCCACCCAGGTAGCACCCAAGGGCCATCCTGTGATTTTCTGGGGTTTTCCTGAGGTCCTGGTTCCCCAAGTTCCTCCTTTTCTCTGCGGGTCCTTCACAGATGAATCCAACGTCTGGCTCTGGGGCCAGTCAGTGCTTACTAGCACGTGGTAAGTGATGAATACTGTTTTGCTTTTTTTTTTTTTTTTTTTTTTTTTTTTTTTGTGCTGGGAGTCGAACTCAGGACCTCATGCTTGCCAGGCAGGCACTGTGCCACTAAGCTAATTCCTTGCTCCAGTTAATACTGTTTAATAATGATAAAAGTATTAAATGTCCTCATGTCCCATGGCTTTTTCTCTAAAAGGAAGTCATGGTGAATTTACTCATAGATAGCAACATTTATTTAAAAGTTACTATCAGGACATTTGATGGCATCTGTTGTCTGTGTTCCCTGGCCCAGCAGTTCCCTGCCTAAATATTTGTCTTGTAGAATGATGCTTTCAACACCACAAGTTCATTTTTATGAGTCATACGATCATCTAAGTGGATAGTGATCAGAATTTATAAATCAAGAAAGCAAATAGGAAGCATCAAAATGCATTTCAGGTCTTGGGAAAATGTGTCATGAACCCCACCCACTAGTTACACACAACACACGTGTGCACACACATGTGCACATGTGCACGCACACTCATGCACACATGTTGGGTTCTTAGCCAGACCATAGTCACCATCCCAGTTTGTTTTACTAGCTTTCTAGTCCTTTACTATTTAGGACTGGTCTGCAGGCAGATGGTCCTGACCGCGTGGCAATCCGGAAAGTACACAGGACTATATCTGTGGCCATGTTTTTATTCATGCGTTTCTTAAACCTTAAATTCACCCAAACCAGTTTTCAACCAAAACTTTTCAGACCTATTCACAAGATACTCTACGATCTTCCTAGCTAAATCGGAACGCTATAATTTGTAATCTATAGCCCTTGTTAAATTCTTAAGCTTGTATCACCAGTCTTTTTATCTAAATGTCATTTCCAGATGGTCAGGTTCTTAGAGATGGGGTTTAAATGCCTAGCATGGTACTTCACATACAAATAGCTATTGCTAAATAGCTACTACTATTAAGTACTGACTATAATTGTGCTACAATTTTGCAAAGTAAGTATTATCTCTGTTTGAAATTGTGAAGAAATTTGCTATCAAAGGAATTAAGAAACTTACCTAACACCATATACTTAGTAAGTGGCAAAACTAGTTTGTCCAGCTCAGAATTCTCACTCATTTGTGCCATAGTGCCTTGGTGCTAAAAATAGCTAAGTAAATGGAATACTGGATGGAAGTGTTTATAGTACCATGCTCACTGGAACTGTCTTGTGTTCATTGCCAATATGCTACTTGGAGTCTTCACTTGGTGACCATGTTGGGGTACAGCTAACTAATGGGCTCCTTCTTTGAATCTGTCTTCTAAGTTATTGTTACTCATGGAGAAAGTTTAAATATGCTAGTTTTGCCTTATTTTGGGGAGCGGAGTCAAATAGAAACTTAATCACACTTTGGTATTTTTCTTAGGTAGAACATTTTCCATTTGCCTAATAACCTTTACTGGGTTACTAGACAGAGTCTGATTCTCTTTTGTAAAGTGTATGCATCCTTTTTCTGTTGCTGTATAAAATACTTGCAGGAAAAAGGAGGTAAAGACTGCTTGTCTTAAATAAGTGTGCACCTTGATGGCTTTTTCGGTCTATGTTCGTATCTGTGGAACCACCGTCTAGGTCAATATTACATCCATCCAGAAGGAGAAATTCCCGCATACACTTCCTAAGCAGAGTAGGCTGAGCACCTCTAATCGGAAAATCTAAAATCTGAAATGCTCCAAAGTGGAAAACTTTTTGAGCATCGAAATGATACTGCAAGTGGAAAGTTACACACCACATCTCATATGAGAGGGTTGCAGTTAAAACATAGGTGTTCCAAATGTGTATGGGATTACCTAGACTGATAGACAGACAAATAGACAGACAGTGAGACATGAATGAATTTTATGCTCAGACTTGGGTCCCATCTCATTTACATATGCAGATATTCCAAAATCCAAGACACTTTTGGCTCCAAGCAATTTAGGTAAGTGATGGTCAGTTTTCGTAGTCATCATTTTCCTCTCTTATTTCTATTTTTCTGTGTTCTTAGCTGAGCTGTTTTGAATGGATTATTTAGTTGGTGCTGATAACCTGCTGTTTGTTGCTATTATCTAAAGTGTGACAAGCTGATGCTTTATCACTTAAGAATCACTTAAGACCAGTGATGGCGAACCTTTGAGAGCTTTCAGTGTTACAAAACAGCCAGCTGTGGTGTTTATGCCATAGGGTTCCCACCACTGACTAAGCTGTGCACAGGAGGACTGGGTACTTGGTGTCATTACTGGCTTCGTATGGTGATGCTTTGATCTGATGGAGTGTTTTTCCAGGTTTTGTAGGCCTCTGGCTAAAAATACATGTGTATTATGATCATAATACTTTAAAAAAAACACCCTGAGGTCTTATAGAGATACAAGAGCTGTGAGTACTTGATACATATGCCTTGATGTGTTTGATAGAAAAGATACAATATGAATCCATCTACTCTTTTTTACCATCACATCAGTAGATAAGAAGGGACTGCTGTTTCCTTGTGGCTACATTTATTTGAAGTTATATAACTATAAATCTTCAATATTCAGATCATGGAAGCCTTCTTTGAAAATGAGATATTTTTGTCCACCAAATCACTAGCAGATTGCTCAGCTATTGCACAAGAAATGAAATAATTATTAAATATGAGATTAGAATAACTTGTGGGTGAAAGCCACGGAGTTCATGAGGATTGACTGTCCACTAGGCCCTTAAATATGTTAAGTGCCTTTAGCCGTGTACTTGAACTCTGCATTATAATTCATTTCTAAGACTTTCAGCACCACGAGTGGTGGTGCATGCCTAGAATCCTAGCACTGAGGAGGCTGAGGCAGGAGGATCACCTTGAGTTGGAAGTCCAGGTTGGGCTACATAGTGAATTCAAGGCTATCCTGGATTACATAGTGAGACTCTGTCTCCAAAAAACAAAACTAAATTTTAAAAGTTCTAAAAAGGTTTGTGAATGTTAGTGTATTTATTTTGGATTGGTTTTAGGATTTGTGTTTAGACTAAAAAATCGAAGGCTTTTCTTTTAGCTTACTACTGTTTGATATATTATTTGTACTTATATTGATAAGCATTTACTCAATGACAAGCATTTACCCTTGGAGTTAACATAGAAAGTGGGATTACTGTTTCCTGTTTGGTTGTCACCATTATTTATAAATTTGATTCTAAATCATTGGTTAGGAGTTTAGCCCTCTGTTACTGCCTCATCTCTAAAGAAAAATTGTTTGGTAAATGTCTTGATAAAGTAGAACTGTCATAATAATACTGGGTGGTCCAACAACAGAAATTTTCTCACCATTTTAGAGGTCAGAGGTGTGAGAATATTCCCTTTCATGAGGGCTCTTCCTGGCTCACGGTGGCTCCTTCTTCTGTGCCCTGCAGGGCCTGTCCTAGGTAGCATGTGAACAGAGGGCGCAGTTTTTCCGATCTTCTTCTGCTTATGAGGCACCCATCCATTGGATTAGGGCCCTACTCTTAGGATCTCAATTACCTTTCTTGGTCTTGTCTCCAAATATAGTCACATTGGAGTTGGTGGATACAATTCAGTTTGTAAAAGTGGATGTTTTAGAAACACAGCAGGGAAATGTCTTCACTGAACGGAAGCAGCCTTAGTGTCCGTGCTGCTCCCTCATTCTCTGCCTTGTGTGTTAGAAGAATAACGCGAGCTGTGTTTCTGATGCCATTAGTGTGGCTTCTGCGTGAGGTTCTGAGAGTTTTCCTCATGCAGAGCTGCTTTGCTGTCTCTGTCTGCACTTCTGTGTGGTGTGATGTCGGTGTCGTATGCTTTCAGAGTAATACCTGTCACTTTGAAAGTCTTGTATTAAGCTGCAATTTAGAAAATGGCTTTTAAAAAGCAGAAAGAAGATGTTGACATTCTCAGAGGCACAGTGTGGAGCACAGGTGGCCTGCCACTCACTGAGGCTGTGCAGTCTGTGATGCATAGGATAATTACTGTCTTTCAGGTATTTCTCCAGAATTATTAAGAAACTACTCAGTCAAACCTAGTCTGTAAATTTAATCAACATGCCTTAAGACAGAGATCAGGTGGTCCACAGCAATTCTCAAATCAGGTCACTGTAGGAAAGCAAAATGTTTCTTGATTAGGCCTCAATTCTACCTTTTTGTTCCTTGTTTTAAGAGGTTCAGTTTCTGCTCTCAGAGGATTCTTTCTTCCTTCTTAGCCACACTCAAAGTGGCAGTAGACAGTTTGGC